CTGTTTGTGTATTTCTGTAAAGAAAATGGGCGTGGAAACCCATAAACCAGGACAGGGAAAACCCTGATCACCTGAAAATGCCAGTCTACTCCTATGAGCAAGCTGCAATCAGATCACACACAAATGTTTAGGCCCCCTCCACACACACCTCCCCGCTTTCCCCAGGGCTAACACAAAATCCTGTGTTTCCGAATGTTTAAACCTGCCTTCCTGACGTGAGGCGTCTCAATCCATATGGAGGCATCTAAATCACAGTGGCTTGTTTTTCAGAAGAGCAGAGCACACCCCAAGTCCCCTTGAACATAAAGGAACATGCACATGGGCTAAGCCTTTGAAATAGCAGGCCTCTTTTCTTTAGGAGTCCAAGTATGTATTCAAGATCCTCATAACATTAGGCACCTGCCTGTGAACATTTTGGCCTAAGTACTTGAATTGAACAACCTCATTAAAGTACTCCCCACAGACTTGATTGGCCGTAATTGACATTTCATATAACATTGTCATTAGCAGCGTATCTCTAAGGGGACCAAAGTGAAATTCATTAGAGCTGAGTGCTAAGGGATTCGTTTGGCATTTCTGTCAAGTCCCAACATAAGCCCATGCATGTAAGGTATACCGTACAAAGCAATCGTGCTCCAATAACCTGAGGAGCCTGGGTGGACAAGCTAGAAATTCGGAGCTGGAGTTGTAGCTCCCTCTTTTCCCTTGTGTCCAGGTCAACCACTGTTCAGAGACCCCCGTTTTGCAAAGCTGAACTTCAGCTTCTCTTATGAATAATCCTATTTAAGTGAATTCCAGTTAAAGGCTTGTATTGTAAATATATAGAACCCTCCTGGATTACCACCGTGCTATGGGGGTCAAGGGCCCAAAATGCTGTCTTCCAAAGCCAGCTGGCTTGCACAGCTGGCTGGAGTTTTCCTTTCCTTTTACTAGGGGACCTGAATTGCAGCCTTTTCTAAGATGACAGACTGCCTCCCTCGACCTTCAGATACATGGGATTGCACCATCTCACTTTGGAGAGAGGGCAGCATAGGGCAACAGAGATATCGGACACCAGGGCCTGAGAGAATTAAATTATGAAGAAAGGTCAAAGAAGTTAGGCTGAG